AGACTTTAGAGTCCTTATGGACAACATATTCTAGAAAGAGTTGAATAGTTTAGAGGCTAGCCACTTGTGACAGCAGTCAAATTCGAAATCCCATGTTAGCTTTTATTAAGATTATATTAGTGTTATTGAAGTTAATTTATAAGATTAGGAGTTAGTCAGGTTAGTTTAGTTAAAAAAAATTAAGAATTTCCGGCAGTTGCTTAGAAAGTCCGGTTCCGACCCGAAATTATCTGAAACGTCTTATACAGTACCAAATGCTCTAATTTATAGCCAATATATATAAAACACTAAGTTTTAGTGTTTTAAATATAAAACATTTCCATTTAAATAAGTTTAGTCTTCATGGGCTTTTAATTTGAAGAAAAAATGTCAAAATTGAGAAAAATGACATTTTATCAATTTGTGGGCTAATCTTTTCTTCTTTTTTTTTTAAATAATACAATTTGGGCTTGGCCCTCCCCCATGGCTGGCTATCCCCTCCCCTTCCCCCTAAACCCACATATAAACAACATCCTCTCTCCAAGTTCAATTCATTTTCTCATTTCAAAATTTGAAAACTTTCTCTTTTTTTCTCTCTAAAACTCAAGAGGCTCTCAAAGAACCATCTTCATCATCCATCATCTCCAGCCCRTTTCTTCATCATTTCTTCATCAAAATTAGCAAGATTTTGAAGATACAACATTCATTCCATCATCAAACAAGGTAATACATTCATCCCTTTTACTTTTCTTGTAAGTTCTAGGGAGAAAAACCCACTTTATTGCATTCTTCATCTTCTATTCTCTATATTTCGTAAATATTGAGTCTCAAGGTGAGATTATACACCAAAAACATGTAAAAATGTTTATTTGATGGTGGTAATCCATGACCCAAACATTAGAACTCAAAAGGTAGGAAGAAATCATGATTTTATGTGGTTTATTTCTTAAAAATTTCATATTCTGGTGCTGACAGATTATGTGCTTGTGCACAAATCGTCCATATCTTGTAAATGGCTTGTTCAAATGTTATGAGGTTACTTTCAAAAGTTTATTTATTGAGTTGGGGTTGCAATGCATTTGGTTTCACTCAAAAACATTGAGTTTTGACCCAAATGCTCAAAACATTGTATATATGCATATGAGAATTTTCAGTACGTAAACCCTACTTTGAATAGTCATAACTCTCTTGATAATCGTTCAAAATTGTTGATTTTTCTTCTAGATGTTCGTTTAATGAGTTACCTTTCAAATGCCACCGATTTCATTCAATATTGTGGTGATTTGAGGTTTTAATTACTCAAAATAAGTTGAACATACAATATGTCCGATTCTGACAGATTTGTATATGTATGTTCCATCGATCATATCTCTCTCAAAACTCGATGAAAAAGGACGATTTTTCTTTTGAGAGTTAAATTTGTGGATTGTCTCCTACATGCAAGTGGAATCACATAAAATTATGGAGTTTTGATCTCCAAGCACCTAAAACTCTATAGGTGTGCAAATTGTGAAACCACCAGTATGTAACTCTTACTTTGAATGTTAATATCTTTCTACTTACTTATTCTCAATGTATGATTCTTCTTCTAAAACGTTATGTTTTGAGTTAGGATTCATTTGAATCCAGTTTCACTCAAAAATATGATGTTTTGTGGCATGAACCAATTTATTTTAGTCAAGTGTGCAATCTGTCAACTAATGACAGATGTGTGCATGTGACTTTAAGGTATCATATCTTCCTCTCAACTCATCCAAAATGAGTGATTTTTAGTTTAAAAGTTTCGTATAAGTGTTAGGCTTTCAGTCCAATTTGAATTTCTGCAGAACACCTAGTAGAACTCTTTTAATGAGTGTTTTACTAACTTGGTGCAATCTGCCATTTCAGTTGTGATAAGTTGCATTGCATAAATTATTTGAATCATCATCTCWTGCCCAAAATACATGAAATTTGGTCACGATGACTATAACTCAGTGCTATAAACCATATAAAAGTTGGGAATTTATCACATTTTTGAAGTCTCTTTATTTGATCATCTTATAGTTTCTGTCCAGAATCAAGAATTCTGGATTTGGTTGAATTTGTAAAATTTGATCTTTTATTGGATTATAGCATCATTTCTGGTATAAATTAATTCTTTAGTGAGCATATGAACATTATGTATATTTGGACTATGGATAATATTATGGAACATAAGTAGACAAATAAGGACTTAGGATTTGTTAAACCCCATAGGTAGAGATAAATCAATAAGTGATGGTTTTGGATATTCCTATTGTTAGGGAATCGTTGATCTAGCGCGGTATTCGGATCGTATCACTTTTTCTTGCGAAGCTCCACATAAAAAGTGAGTTTCACGGCCCTTTTTTACCAATATATCCTTTTGGGGTGAAAAGCATGATTAATGAATATTTGATAGATTTATATCGATATATGAATCTTGTTATACACTATTGATATGTTGAGATTGAAAGTCCCCGTTTATTTCCACTACTATTAATTCATTTTTGAACCCATGATTCTTGTAGATAGCACTATTTGGTTGTTATACCCACCCTTTTTATTAACGAGTAGGGGTGCACTTGGCATTAAATTTTGCTCTACACATGTGACACGAAGTGGTCACAATTGAGGTAGTCCGGTAGGAGTTATACACATGTGACACGAAGTGGTCACCGCTGAGGTAGTTCGGCATGAGTTCTACACATGTGGGGTTTAGTCCCACCGCTGAGGTAGTTCGTAAGTATGCTCTACACATGTGGTTCGCTACCACCTTTGAGGTAGTTCGTGGGGCGTTTTTAAGTTTAGTAGTGGCTCAACAATATAAACCATGTGTATGACGTTTTTAAGATATTGCTCATAAATTTATAACTGAGATTGCTGCATTTAAAATCATTTTGTGCATATAAAACCTGTGAACTCACCAACTCTTGTAGTTGACACTTGTTTGACTTGCTTTTACAGGGTAAGAAAGATTCATGGTGACACTTGTTAGAAGACGTGTCACATTTAGCGATTTCAAAACTTCTTTTATGTTTATTTTTTTTTGCAAACTTGTATTTGGGACTGTAAACTTTAATTATGATGTAATTATGTTTTAAATTGTATGGTTGTGTTGTTTATACACTATTGCTATGAGACTCTACCTGCCATACCTCGCGTTTCCGCTTTAGCGGGGTGTGACAGATTTGGTATCAGAGCGATAGGTTATAGAGAACACCGGTTTTCTAAGAAAACCATACACTATAACCCAAAATTTTACGAACTAATTTTTGTAGTTAGAGTCTCAAAAATTTAAAACGGACATACTACTAATATAATTAGACCGGGTAACTTCTTAGCATACTCTAACTAGACATAGCCTGATCACCTGTGTCTAATTAAGTAYGTATAAGGAGAGACGCGGATTGGTTATGTTAGGTGTTTGTCTAAAAGTTATGGACTTCTTACTCAATAAGAAAAGCACGGTTCGCATGTGTGAGTTTGCATAAATATTTACATTCTTTTTATTATGATTCGTTTATTGATTTTAATTTTTTTTTTTAAATATCGCAGCATTATGTCTTCATTCCGAGGGTATTCAGCCAATGGGTATGGCGATGACTCGGGTTCGGATAGGGGAGACCATTTCGTCTCCAAGGATACGGACTCGTACGAGCACAGCTATCACAGTGACGACACCGCAGAGTCACCTGCACGATCTGTTACCCCCATCCCCGAGCCACCTCCACGGTTAGTGTATGGGACGAGGGTTCGGGTCACCGCTCGGAAGAGCGTACCGATCCCAATTCGGAGGACCTTTAGCATCCCACATAGGGATGAGGCTGGACCCTCCCGAACTAGGGACCGGAGTGTGACACCACCGCCACCAGAGGATCGAACTCGGGTCACTCGACCGACTGTAATGACTCCCA